TTTGCTATACGGTTCCTATCAGTAAATTTAAAGTGAGCAGAAAACAAATTATGGTTCACATTTTCCTGCATATTCTAATTAAGAATCTCATTTGTGGTCATCATCAATGAAGCCCAGAACAACCTTCCAGAGTGATTGGCAGCCAGGTGGCAGGATGTATGATACAGTCAAGAGTTATGATATTACCAGTATTAAATAAACTATAAGGGAACTGCAGAGGTAAGAATTTCTACATTGTTAAAATACAAATGGGCCAGGTGCAGTGGCTCACATCTGTAATACCAGCACTTTGGGAGGTTGAGGCAGGCAGATCACCTGAGGTCAGGAGTTCAAGACCAGCCTGGCCAACATGATGAGACCCTGTCTCTACTAAAAATACAAAAATTAGTCGTGTGATGGCGCATGTAATCCCAGCTACTCAAGGGGCTGAGGCAGGAGAATTGTTTGAACCTGGGAGGCGGTTGCAGTGAGCCGAGATCACGCCACTGTACTCCAGCCTGTGCGACAGAGCGAGACTCCCTCTCAAAAAACAAACAAACAAACAAACAAACAAAACAACCATTACAAGTGGGTTCCAAGGAGCCATAGAACTGTGAGTCACAACACCATCACTACCTTTTCAGTACATTACAAAGAATCTTCAGGTGCACTGATTAAACAACAAACACATACAGACGTATCTCTTTTCTATCCTTTATTCTGAATTTTTGTTTGTAAATGGCTCTATCTAACGTAGACCCATGCATTTTGCAGTACATTTGGTTAATGTACAAATTGTTAATATAGACAGGGACCCTATAGAAATATCACCTGGGACTCCACATATCCTAGGAACAGCACTGGCATCTTCTCCTACCTAATTCCCTTGGATCCAGAAACAGCTGCCCACAGTCTAGTTCCTAAGTCTCTCATAAACCATTTCCGTCAACTCCTGCAAGTGCTTTTCAGCACCAAAAAAAAAAAAACAAAAAAAAAACCCACCCATTCTGGCAGCCATTTTCCACAAACAGAGAAGCATTCTTCCCCAAAGGTGAATGGAAGTATCCATCTCCAGCAGCTAAAGAACTCCTGGTATCTTTAAATAATGGTCATTTGCCAGGTTCTTAGCCTCACCACATGCCCACCCTGCCTCCTTTCCTGTCATTCTAATTCAAGTGCGTTAAGATCCGGCCTCAGCCTAGCCATCCTGCATGTGATGTTTATATACCGACAAGCTGTGAAGTCAGGAACTCTTGTTTCAAAAACTGAGCAAAATCTTGTAAAATATACAACCTCAGGCAAGCTACTTAACTGAGGCTTCCATTTCCTTTTATGTACTCTAAGGCCAATTCTTTTTATTTTGTACAAATTGTTTTGAGAATTAAACATGTTAATATTGAAGCCCAAAGCACAGTGCCTGGCAGGGAATGTTCGATGGGCGATTAACGCCGGTTCCCTAGCTTCTCTTCAGCAACAGCGATTGAAATTGCTCCTCTGCAGGTGATGTTTGCCTACTTGGATCATGAAAAGCACACTCTTCCCAAAGGCGGTTTACATTTCCTGGGCCCCTCTGGGTCAGATCCTGGACCAAGGGCTGGGCTGCAGGAGCAGAGATGCAGCCACAAGGGCTGGGGAAGAACTAACTCAGACTGATCTTTTTGGCTGAAGTCTCTGCAGGCAGAAGCAGAAAAATCACTGCCAATTTAGAAGGCTCAAAACAAAATTCATGAAACATTCAAATAACTGCTAGTGAAGGCCCAATGAACAGAAAACACTTGTGGGGAGACAGACTTTTATACCAATTTAAAGATCCTCCAGCTGGGGCTCCAGGTATTTGATATTCTCTCTGTGACAGGCCAGAAGACAGAATAATCATATCTATTGTAATAGCTGTCATTAGTTCAGCACTCGAAGATTTTCAAAGCACTCAGCAACTCTTAGTCCTACAACTGTGTGAGTCAAGCAGATAGTATATTATCTTTGTCTCTAAGGACAACTCAAGCCTGGGGTCAAAATGCCACTCTTTCTGCTCTAACCCTCTGCCCAGCATAAAGTTCCTGTTGCATTCATCAGTTAGGAGGTAGCACTCTTTCCTCAGTTATACACAAGTTCAAGTGAGTGAGTAGATAAAACACACCTGAAGCTATGTGCAGGAAAGAAGAGGCCCGGTAGGATGTGACTAAAGAAATAAATGAGTGCTTTGACTTCTTCAGAAGAAAGATGCTCCCTTTTACCAAGAAGGTATTGAAAACAAAGTTATGCATCAGCAAAACCAGCCCACTTCTTTGTGGGCCTGGCTTCTGACTGGGTCACAGAAAAGTCGGTGAATCTGTGCTTTGGAAGGTACCCTAGAGCTTCTTCACTCTAGTGCCCCATGCCATGGACGATGTCCCTGATATGTGATGGTCTAGCCACTGCTGGCCACTCCCAGGCAAGGGTGTCTCACTTCCTCACAAAGCAGCCATGTGAAGAAGGGCCAGCCTAAGACCAGGGGCCCCTCTTTATACCTCCCACCTGTTGTCTTGCTTTTGTCTTCTCTATCAGTACAGAGAAAGTAAATTCCCTTTCCACGTGATAGATCTATAAAGTGACTGCTACATCTTCCTAATGTGTTTCTATTTCAGTCTAAACATCTTCAGTTCCTTCCACCAAGCCATATAGGACATTACCTCTACACCCCTTAGCATCCCAATTGTGTTCCTCTGGACATGTTTTGGTTGGTGTCCATCTATGGCGGACACTGTTCATTGGCTAACTCAGCAGACATTTGCAATTCTTTTGCTTTGGCTACTCTGTAAAGCATGAAAAACAAAACGCTGCCTTTCCCAATCTTCCCTATAATTAGGAGTGGCCATGTGACCCAGTTCTAGCCAATCATATGTAAACAGAGACCTAGTGAGGAGCTTATAAAGAAGTTTTTGACTTTTTAATTGTAGTGATAGATGCTACTAGCATAGTCCCTTCACCTTTTCTTGCCCCCTTGAATGTGGATCTGATGCCTGGAGCTGGGGTAGCCATCTTATCACCATAAGGGAGAGGCCAAAAACATCTCAGAGACTCAGGCAATGAAATTGTTGAAATGAGAATTGCCACCACCAACTGCCTTCTTCCAGACTTTCAGTGTGACGAGAAGATCAAACCTGCATTTATTTAAGACATTGTAAATCAAGCATTCTGTTATTTACAGCTGAGATCAATTAAATCTGATACACCTTAAAATGTTGCATTTAGAACGGCGCATGATTGTCCAGATTTGGCAGAACTATTGTGATATGTATTTGAGCTATTTTTTACCTTGTGCCATCCTAAGACCAACATTTTGGCAGCTTTACATGGTTGACTTGCATCCTTATAAGTAACAACAACAGTTTAAAAATTACCATTTATTGGGGGCTTATTATTTGCCACATATTATTCATTTATTTAACAAATATTTATTAATGCCAAATTATCTGCTGAGAATATAGTAGTAGTAAATAAAATAGACACGTTTCTGCCCTCACAGTCTCATGTGATTATTTTTAATCTGAATAATACTTCAAGCTAAATAATATCATTGCCATTTTTATATTATTTGGATATTGAGTATGTAGCCACATAAAGCCTCTAACTTCTTTACACTTAAACTTCTGTGGAAATAGATATCTCATTTCTGAATTTAACTGCAGGTACAGGGTTTCATTTAATTAATTAAATGATTTAAAAACTTTGTGAAACAATTTCAAATGTACAGAGTATTTGTAAGAGCAGCATTGTTTTACCCTGAAACAACTGAGCATATTTGCCACATAATGCCCCATGACCCCTGAATACTTGTGTATTTCCTACAAATAAGAATATTCTTTGACATAACCACAAACCACCATTGAAATCTATACATTAAGATTGATATATCACTACTGATATGGTTTGACTCTGTGTCCCCATCCAAATCTCATCTGAATTGTAATCCCCACATGTCAAGGGAGGGATCTGGTGGGAGGTGATTGGATTATGGGGGCAGTTTCCCACATGCTGTTCTCATGATAGTGAGGGAGATCTCATGATATCTGACAGTTTAAAAGTGTTGCACTTCCCCCCTCTCTTCCCTGTTCCCTGCTCCACCATTGTGAAAATGTGCTTGCTTACCCTTTGCCTTCCACCATGATTGTAAGTTTCCTGAGGTCTCCCAGTCATGCTTCCTGTTAAGCCTGCAGAACTGTTAGTCAACTAAACCTCTTTTCTTCATAAATTACCCAGTATCAGGTATTTCTTTCTAGCAGTGTAAGAAAGACTAATGCAATTACCATTCTAATTCTTAGACAAATTCAAGTTGTGCAATAGTCCCAAATATGTCAAAGTAAAAGGATTGAAGCCAGGATCACACATCGCAATTAACAGGCAAGTCTACTTAGTCTCCTTCATTTAGTCTGAAACAGTTCTTCCAACTTTTCCTTGATTTTCAGAACCTTGACAGTTTTGGAAATCGCAAGCCACTCATTTTGTAGAATTTGTAGTCTCACTTTTCCACACAAATAGTCACATCTCAACAATCCTCCTGTGCTCTGGGCGTTGATTTTACCAGGTGCCACATGATTTCTATTTGTCCCATAACTGGTGATGTTTACTTTGGTCACCGGATTATGGTGGTATCTGCCAGTTTCTCCACTGTAAATTATTATTTTCCATTTTGTAATTATTTTGTGGGGGTGGCTGGGCGCGGTGGCTCACGCCTGGAATCCCAGCACTTTGGGAGGCTGAGGTGGGCAGATCACAAGGTTAGGAGATCGAGACCATCTTGGCTAACACGGTGAAACCCCGTCTCTACTAAAAAGTAAAAAAACTAGCCGGGAATGGTGGCGGGCGCCTGTAGTCCCAGCTACTTGGGAGGCTGAGGCAGGAGAATAGCGTGAACCTGGGAGGCAGAGCTTGCAGTGAGCCGAGATCGCGCCACTGCACTCCAGCCTCAGCAACAGAGTGAGACTCCGTCTCAAAAACAAACAAACAAACAAACAAACATTTTGTGGGGAAATACTTTGAGATTATATAAATGCCCTGTTTTTCATTGAACATTCAATTTATTCATATTCATTTATCAGTATGGGCTCAAAGATTCCTGTCGTAGTAAATAGACTAGAAACCATTATTATCACTATTTTGATGCTCAAATTGTCCTGAACACAGCCAGTGGGAGCTCCCTAAATCTGGCTGCTGTGTCCTTTTGACATGTTCCTGTCATTCTTCGAGTACTACCTGCCTCACTGCCACAGGGTATTCCAGGCTCATGTATCTCCACTCCAGCCCTAGAATTAGCTATTTTTCCAAGGTGCCTGATTCCTCTTAGTGGAGAGTGATATTTGCAAACCATGGTCTGGGTCTATCTGAGCCCTGCCTCCTATCCTACTAAGCTGTGCTCAGACCCCCAATATGATACTGGAACAGGCTGAGCCCTGGCTGTGAGCTTGGCAGAGTCTCCAAATCAGGGCACACTGAAGATGAGCAGGTCCGGCCCCTCCTGTGCTACAGGTGAAGCCTGGGGATGTGGGGTGGGCCTCACTCGTAGAACCAAACTGGCTCGAAATTCTCTACCCAGCCCCCAACCCTCAGAAGGACCCACAGGAGGTCTGTCCAGCCAAGGGCTTCAGAGTTAAACTGGAGGAGCTCCAACAACACAAGGCAAACTCTTCATTGCTGCTTCCTGGAAACAACTGAGGAGGGAAGTTGCAAAGAGAAAACCCAGGGGTAAAGGAGCAGGGAGAATCTGTCTGAGATATGTAGTGATGGCCTCCGCCACGTCAGACTGAAGCCAGTGCAGGCCATTTGCCCCAGGAGGCACTTTCTGCAAACTTTGCTTAAGCTGACCTCTGTGCTGAGCAATGACCCCAGCTGGGATGCTTACTTCCAGCTCACAGCCTGGCAGAAGAAGATGCAATGCTACAAGCAAAGAGAAATATTTCACAGAAGAACAAGGGGGCATTGGAGCCAGGCCTGGTGAGGAGCTCCACCTGCCATTTCCTGAGGCTGTAAGCAGGGGCAGGGTGGGGCTAGAGGGGATCTTTTCAGGTTAGTCCTTGCTCACCTCCTGTGACTCTGTCTCCCCAGGAGCAAGCTTCATGAGAGATGGTCTTGCTGGACATTACAGGAGGAAAAGAAGGAAGACAGGAAGATCAGGAAGGAAGACCAGGCTGAAGGGACAGGCAAACCAGCCTCGACAGCTCTGCCCAGTATGACTGGGGTGGCTGTCCATCCGAGAACAAGAACTCAAAAGGCACATGGATGTTATTTCTCAGTGGCAGTGACAATCTGTAGGTCTCTGATCCTATCAGACTGTCCTCAGACAGAGGAGGAGGAGGTGAAAGGGGAAAAATATTGCCTTGTAAGAATGGGCAAAGACAAAATTACTACTAGGCAGAAGGTGAGAGAAGCAAGGTTGGCAGGGCAGAGGCTAGCCTATAGTGAGCCTTGCATGCCTTAGGAAAAGGTGCCCCTTCTGGGTCCCGAGCCCAACGAGCAAGGGGTGCTTCTGTGCAAACTTTAAACGGAGCAGTCCCATACCAGAGTACACAATGTGGCAAGTGAGCTCTAGCTGAATTTCAGCCTCCACTCTACCCCTCAGCAGGGCATATTTGTGCAGGGTACAACCAACACCACTGTCCATGGTAGCCTTGAGGGTTGACTGAATTATTACTGAGGGAATATAAATTTCTTGCTTTTCCTGAGTGGAGAAAAATATACCCTAGAAACTCTATATTCCCTGCTGAAGATTTTCTCAGCCTACTTTAAGGCCTGAGCTTAGCTGTGGGGAGAAGTGTCAGTGGAAGTTCTGACAGTGGGAGGAGGAATTGTTTCCCATACAAGGACTGTCCCGTACTGACAGGAGGAAGCACATTCCTGGTTCATGATGGGTGAACACCCATGAGTCCAGACACCTGCAAAGACCATGCCTGGCATCACACAGGGAGGGAGAATTGCCACAGCTTTGGGAATGAGGAAGAAGACAGGAGACGGCATCCCTGCAGGGCCAAGGAAGAGACTCCCTCTTCCCAGAGGTAGAACAGCTGTTTCCCTGGGACGAGGCTGTGGAGGGAGGCACCTGCATTCCCCAGGCAGCAGGTCACTCTTTCTGTGCAGGTGTGGAGAGAGAGTGGAGGTGACGAGCAGGGGAGTGGCTCATTGCTGTCAGGCAGGTCTCAAGGCTCTGGAGTGCTTCACTTTCTTTCTCCCAGCCCCACCACTTTTCCTGTGACCTGAGCTGGTGCTTAGCTCTGTCAGGCTGCCAGCCAGTTCTTACTCAACCAGGAAAATCCATGAACCCCAGAGTCTGGCTGTACAACACCTGCCTAAACAGCAGGCCTGGACTGAGATCAATGCACAGAAGAGAGAATACAGGGGTGTGTGTGTGTGTGTGTGTGTGTGTGTGTGTGTGTGTGTGTGTGTCTCCAAGCACATATGTGTATAGGGAGTGAATGGAATGTCCATGGAGAAAGAGACCTACGTTCTGTGGGTATTCTTCTGAGATCATCCTTACTTTAGCTCTGGGGGGCACAGCTCTTGGGTGAGGTAACCCCGTGGAAATCATGACCTACTCTCACCTGAGTCTGCTGTGGTTTAAAGGAGCAGGAGTCACTGATGGAAGAAAGGGCTCATATTCAGTGGTTGCCCTAGGTATGGAGTGAGGGCTCTTCAGGTGGACTAGAGGGGTCAGACTGTCAGTGTGAGGGGGCTGCAAGGCTGTGGCCTCAGGTCTAGCTCCATTGAGGGACAGAAGGCCCAAGAGGACCTGCTCCTCATGGCTCAGCCTGTTCCTCCCCCTGAACATCCTCCCTCCTCTTTTACCTACCTTTTAGGAGCCAGCGCATTCCCCCTCCTCTGTTCCTCCTTCCTCACTAATTCTAGGCTCTCCTGTGCTTGTGATGTGGGAATGAGGAAAGGCTGAGGGCTGCAGACCTGTCTCTGGGAGTGAGGACCACTGCTCACACTTTCATGCTGACTGCCATCCAAGGTGCTGAGCGTAGCAGGCTTTCCCCTGGGGACAGTGAGAACTGGCTGTTTCCCTGCCCTCTGAAATTGCTTCCTCTTCCTTCAGGGGTTCTTTAATCCAGTGAAGGCCCCCAGAGTCTCAGGCTGGCATGGTGCCTAGTCAGTTCAAGTCAATTCAGTCTCTTTGAAGATGTCCGTGGAACTTCACAGCTACACTACATTAAGTCTCCTTCCAGGAGCTGACCCTGAGATAAGGGTTTGTGCACATGTGGTTATGAAGGCCATGCTCCCACAAAAATCACAAGGGAATGTGGAGAGTGGGACAGAAAAGGAAAGCAAGGGGGCTACCTCAGGTGAAGTCGGCAGCAGCCCGGCCCCTAAGGAGCTCTGGAGTAGAAATGACACCTGAGAGTTTGTTCCACCTTGAGGCAAGAGAGCTGAGTGTCATATGGCTGTCAGTCATTGGCTGCAGGTGGCCTTGGGGGTTTACACATTCCCAGCCTGCCTGCTCCTGAAGGGTGAAAGTGGCTCTGTTAGCCTGAGGACAGGACTCTTGGGAGCCACAGGAGCAGGTTGTTCCCAGCAAAGCTCCCACAGCTGGCAGGGGCGGGCTGTGGGGAGGGATTTGAGTGGATCTGGCCGGGGCACTGACAGAGTGTGTGGAGGTGAAGGGCAGCCAGAGTGTCTCCCTTGGAAATCAGCCGGCATGGGCTGGGGCTGGCAGCAGATGACGAAGGGCTCTGACACTGGCAGGGAGGATCTGCCAGAGTAGGGAGATTGGGTACAGTTTTGAGATTATTATGGGCATCCCCTATAAGACTTCTCAATATCAAGCTTTAAGGGGAACCAACAGATTTGCATGGCAGAGTTCAAGGTGTTCTTTTCCAGAGTCATCACATTTCTCCATCTCACTCTGTTCCTTCGCCTTCCTCTTATCACCAGCCTTTTTCATTCTATGGAATTCCTGTGTCACCTGCTGTTTGGACCACTCTCTGGCTGCTCACTGTGCCTTGACGTCCTCACAGGGTTAGTTCCTGATGGTCGTTACACACGCAGCTGTGGAGGTGAACTTGGATTTGATGCTCAGCTCAACCACTTACTGTGTATCTTGAGCAAGTTACTTAACTTCGGTGAGCCTCGCTTTGCTCTGTAAAATATCATAATAGGAGTACCTACTTCACATGGAGTGTGAGAATTAAAATAGATAATTCACATTAAGTGCATAGCAAGGGATCCAGCATGGTTTGCGCTCAATAAATGTCAGCTATTGTTTCCAAATGATTGTCATTATTCTTGTGTGCAAACAAGGTTTCCACACATATTTTGGTTCTGTCTGAGGGCAGGCACCAGATACAGTACCATATGCACTTAGGTATATGTTCATATGTGCATGGGGTTTACACATGGAAAAATCTGGGCAAGGAGAGAAGCCCATAGGTTCAGGACCCCTCAATCAGTGTAACAGCAAAGCCTAGGATATCCATGCTCGTCACACTGGAGCTACCGCTCAGATATCAGAGCACAGCATCCATAGAGACAAGTGCCCCCTGGTGCCACCTGCCTTTTTACTATGCCAGCACCAAAAGCCTGATAAGGGAGGCTCCCCTGCCTGAGGGAGAAATGTTCTCCAGGAGGAAATACAAGGCTATGCGGGAGAAGGCAGTGGAAAGGAGGCTGGAGATCATGCCATCAGGGCGGGCAGGGAGCAAGGCTCCCACGTGTTCTGCTCTGCCTGGGACAGCTGTGAGCCGAGTCCCAGGCTAGTCAGAGAACAAGCAGATTCGACTCTGCGTTTCCAGGCCAGCCCACGCTGACTTGGACGTTACTCAGTCCTGGGCGTGGTCACTCTAGCTCTCTCTGAGTCTGCCTTATTAGAGCCTTAGCAGTCCCCAGACTGGCTTCCTGGTTTAAAGCCCATGCTTGTCACTCTTTCCACTGCCACAGAGAATGGGGCTGAGTGTGCACGGCGCTGGCTACCTGCTACAAAGGCTGCTGCCTCTGCCAAAGGGAAGATAAGGCTTCCCTTCATCCACAGCTGCTGCCCAGTGAGGCATACACAGGTAGGGGTGGCGCCCAGCCTCAGAGAGTGCTTTCAGAGTGCCAGGGAAAAGGAGGAGGCAACACCACATGCATCTTGCTGCAAATAAACAGAATCCGCCCTGGAGAAAGGGATGAAACAGGGTTGTGTGAGTAGTCCAAGGTGGGCAGGAAGTGGGCGTGCTGGTGGCAGGCGGCTGAGCTCTCTGAGGGCATTCTGGCCATTTTGCATAAGCATCACAAAACCTAGGAAACGTATGGTCAGTCAACCAGGAAAAGCCAAGAAAAAATGACACAAGCTGCTTGTCAGATGTGACACATGTGCTCAGTGTGAGGAGCCCGGCCAGTGACATGCACACTCTTATATGCACACACACACTCAGGCATACGCACGTGCATGTGGCATCAATGTCCATGTTGGAAGATGAAGGATGGCCACTAATAATACTCCCCTTTACCTTCCAAGTTTTCAGAAAACCAAATAATTTGTAGTCTTGTTCTACATGCACAGGCTAGTCTAACCTAGACAACCCCATTCCAGGTCTTTGTGGCAGAAGGATGTTAGAACTCACCTTCTCAAGGCCTTCTAGGAACAGCAGGAAGTGAAAACAGTGGGGAAGACAGCGGGAGGTACATGGGTCAAACCTTTTGTGGTCATGGACAACTTTAAGAATCTGATTAAAATTGAGGGGTTCTCTCTCTTTAGAGAAATGTGCATAGAGTATATTGGTACAATACTGACGTGATTCCAGGGGGTCACGGATCTCCCTCCCCAAGAGCCATGTATGAGTCCCTGGTTAACACACCCCATTGTGAAGGATTCCAAATAGGAACTGAGCTAAACAAAGGCAAAGCACCAACGATGCTGGCATCTCCAGCCACCACTCCCAGAGTCCCCAGCTAAATGATGTCATCCTGAGGCTCAGAGAGTGACAGATGACAATGTCAAACCAGTGACACATCTCAAAGAGAAACCATCCATAACGCTTTCTCAGAACCACCCATTAGGTTCCAGACTTTCCAGTGTTCAGGGTACCACATTCCTAGGCCAGTGAGAGAGCAGGTGTGGAATGGCTGGATGGAACACCTTGTGGTGACAGTCCCCCGCCATCACAAATAGGAAACCAGCCTATTGTGGGGAGTTTCCCTGCCCTGTTGGAGGAGGCAGCAGCAGAACAATGGGAATGTGGAGAAGAATCCCACATGGAGGGCCCTGCACGGGAACCTTGGAGACAAGCTCAGAATGGACTGTGAGGCAGAGTGCACACTGACATGCCACTGCAGGTACAGTCTCGGAAGGTGAACTCAAGGGCATGGGGATTGGGGCAACTGTCTACTTCACCTTGCTTCATGTTCATCCATTCACTGAGCTATCATTTGTTGAGCTCCCACGATGTACCAGACACTGGAGAAACAGACACAATGACACGGCCCCAGTCCTCAAAGAACTCACAGTCTATCAGGGGAAACACAGCCCTACACTGCACATGATGAGGCAGTGCCATCTGATGGGTGCAAGCCCAAGCTTCTCTCTGAAGCTGAAATTATACTGCTGGAAATCAGCATGTGTTGAAGAAAAAAACCTTGGGCAGTTGGTGCCAGCATAGTCTGGAGTAGGACTCTCAATCTTGGCTGTGTATTAGAATCACCTGGGAGGTTTTGTTAAACTATCAATGACCAGACCACGCCCCAGACAAAGTAAATCAGAGTTTCTGGGTAAGATCTCAGTCATCAACAGTTTTTAAAGCCCTCCAGGTGATTCCAACGTGTAGCACAATTGAGAATCTCTGGCCAGAGCTTCACATTCCCCGCTTATGTGTACTCTTATCCCAGTGTCCCCTGAATGGAAGCATTCATGATTGAGGAGTTCAGGATCTTAGGGAACAGCCAGGATGGAGTTGGACTCATGAGTAAATTGACTTAAGCAAAAAGAGCTTTCAAACATTGTTTTATGTTCATGTAACTCAGGGACCAGCCCGCTACTGACACCTTCAATTTCTCCAGGCTCTGATTGACGCCACGAACACAGAGAGGGATCATGGTTTGCCTTGCTTACATCTAAGGCCCAGAATCAATTCTTCTGGATTGATTGAATGATGGTTAAACATCTCTTTCCTTCAGGGGGGAACTTTCTTTCCACCCCTAACTGATAGGGTATAACCTGGTCCCATAGTTCCAGCAGAACAGTCATCATAGTTTAGACAGCATTTCCCAGCATTCCAGGAAATATATGGGATGTGGACTTTTGTTGGTGTTGAGGTACAGGGGGCAGTGATTCAAAATATCACAGAACCAGTAGGAAAAGAGAGTTCAGTAGGAATTAGCTCAGGGAAAATGACACACAGCTGCCTGTCAGGATACTGTGCACATAGTGGGAATAGAACTCCAGGTGCCCCCCCGCCCCTCCCCACACACATGATTTTATCAGCAGGCAGCACCATCCAGAACAAAGGCAGCGAGAATAAATTCCTTTAATTTCCAAATGCTCAGAAATGCCTATTGGCCCTTGGTTTGGATGGGTTAAACTAGGAGATTCAGGAGACATTGAATTGGGAGAAGCCACATAGACAGAGTTATATGAGCCAGTCTTGTGCTGGAGAGGTCTGGGTTGGTTAGTGACATTTGGGAGTCAACAGCATAAAGAGGGCATTTCAATCCCCAGACAAGGATGAGCTGCCTCAGGTAGAAGAGACTAAGGAGGGCAGAGGCTGGAACCAAATCCTGGGCTGCCCAGGCTATTAAAAGTTGGGTGGAGGAGAGTGGGCAGACATGGTGGTGAAGGAAAAGGGACACCTGGAGAGGGGCTGGCCCAGGAGGCAAGCAGGGGTCCACGGCAGGGGAAAAAGACTAGGACAAAAACATGACCACTGGATTTGGCAACAGGCCAGTCACTGGGGCCTTGAACAGGGCCATTTCAGTGGTGTGGTGAAGGCGGAGGCTACGGCAGTGAACAGGGGACTCATTCTAGAAGTATTGAGTGTGGTGGGAGCAGAGGAGTGCAGCTGCAGCTGGGGCACATGTGAAAAGGGGAATTTTTAGTGTATATTTTTATGCAGATGGGAATAATTCCAAGGCCAGGGAGAGGGAACAAGGCAGTAGAAAGGAGAAAAAGGGGGTATCCCAAGGAGTTAAGTCCCTGGGAAGATGGGGAATCTTTCCAGAAAAGGGAGGATCTGGCTTTGATGAAGCAGTTATTTCGTTACAGTTCATGTGCTGAAGGACAGAAGTAAAGGTTATTCTTTTTTTCTTTTTTTTCTTTTGAGATGGAGTCTCGCACTGTCATCTGGGCTGGAGTGCAGTGGCATGATCTTAGCTCACTGCAACCTCCACCTTCCAGGTTCAAGCGATTCTCCTGCCTCAGCCTCCCAAGTAGCTAGGATTACAGGCATCCACCAGCATGCCCGGCTAATCTTTTTTTGTATTTTTTAGTAGAGATGGGGTTTCACTATGTTGGCCAGGCTGGTCTTGAATGCCTGACCTCATCATTCACCCGCCTCAGCCTTCCAAAGTGCTGGGATTACAGGCGTGAGCCACCGTGCCCGGCCAGAAGTAAAGGTTACTCTACTTAGCTGGGAGGGAGAATACTTCTTGTTCTTTTTCCCCAGGTGGTTTGTGCTTGGGAGGTGCTGGAGAAGTCTCCAACAGCAAGATTCCTGGCAGTGGAACATAGGCAACTTATACTCCCCTGCCCTAAGCTAATCAGAATTTCAAAAGGCATATTTAGATGTACTGTGTCATATCTGAAACAGTTATTGGTGAAGTGTGGGTGGTTTACCACTATCTAGGTCACATTTATTAAAATATAGAAATCTGAGCGCTCTTTAATCCATAAGATGAAAGAAAATATTACCAGACAGCAACAAGAGTACAAAGGAATGTTTTGTCAGTGTGGCCTCAAAAACAGAGTTTTAGAAAAAGTACAGCAAGAGTCCCAAACAGCATGAAGAAACCAAAATAACACCCCTCTGCTCTGTTTCTGTCTAACTCATGAAGTAGCGATCTAGTCTTTACCCCACAAACAGAAGGAGGAGCCAGTCATCCTCGAGAAAGCGAGCGAGAAAGCGAGCGATTATGACTTGTGAAAATTTCTTAC